CCTGATGCATTACCACAACGGCAAATCTTTGCATCAGCTAGTACTACACAACCATTTGTTGTTAACCAAAATGATCAAAATCAAGATGAACAACAACAACAACAACAACAAAACGAAAGAGAACAGACAACAACTACGACAGCATCGTTTAGACGTCGGCAACGTCGAGTTCGACAACAGCGATATCGTCAAAGAAATGTTGTCACTAATAATCGTTTTGCTGCATTGGCTGATGAAAATGAAAATAATGATAATACTGGTAATGATAATGACAATGAACCAATAAATACTAAAGAAAAGTATAAGAAAAAGACTCGTCGTTATCTCTTGCCAGATCAGATGCTCAAATGGTTTGATAGTTTTTCAAGAACTACAAAGCCAATAGTTTCACAACGTGCAAATCAAGCTTATCTTTTAGCAACAGCTTCAAATTATGATGTGTGGGTCAGAGATAATTATGAATTACAACTCTGGCAAGCATATTTAAAAATGGGTACTGAGAAAAAACATTGGGCCAAAGAAGTCGTTCGACGAACAAAACAACGTGATGATATAGCAAATAGTCGATTTATACAAAAGAAAATTAATCGATTAGTAGCTAATATTGCTAAAGCAAATGCTACAATTGCTGATTTCCAACTTCAATTAATTGATTATTGGTCATATGCAAATCCAGATGCACTCGCACAAAGAGTAGTTGGATTAATAACAGAAAAAGAAAGAACCAATCAATCAACTGGACAAACTCTAAGTTCGGCCCCTTTAACGACAACCATTACAGCTGTCAATGCTACGACAACTACTAGCGCTTATAAAGATCCAGTTCGCGAAACTGTTGACAGAATTGAACACCAGATTTTGGATTATATCTATAAAAATACGTCACATGTTAAAAAGATGTTTCAAGGTCGTGTTCAATTAGCCAAAGCTGAAATGGAAGAATTCAAGGCTTTAGAAGATTTTGAACAAGTGACTACTCCATCTCAATGGACTATTCATTTGATGTTGAAATCAAAAGTAAAGGTATATTCTACGAAAAATAAAAATTATCGTATAGCTACTAAACGTGTTGAATATGATCTTCTTCCAAAATTTATTGATAAAATCGATTTTTCATTTAAAATTGATGAATCAGTTGTTGGCAAAGATGAAGCACAAGCTATGTATGATCAAATGCGTAAAACCACGAAAGATTTTCGAACTCAAGCTATGAAATTATATGTTCAATCATTAGCTCGAGAACATGAATTATTATCTAATGA